CGGTCTGTCGCTTGGAGATGGTGGAAAGCCGGCTTGAAACGCAGTGGAAACGCCAGTATGACGAGGATCGTTTTCATTTTAAAACATAAACGCACCAGTGTAAATGTAGCCTTACATCTATGAGGAGATACCCCCTGACCATGTAAAGCGCTTTGAGTACTTAGAAAAGCGCTATATAAATGTAATGAATTATATGGGGGCTGGGACGCATTCACACTACAGCCTCGCTTGTGCGCCACATCTCTGAGTGTAACCGGCGTAAACTAGTAGGTGTGTTCGACTTGACGCGGACGACTGTGCAGACCGATCGGTGTATTACAGTACCACGAGAGCTAAAGAGAGCAGACTGCTCCGTGCGCTTTCGAATCGCTCTCGCGGATGATCGATCTGCGCCGCACCGCTTCTAGTCGAACACACCGGCTAGTGCTGCAGGCTTATTGGCTCACTGACGCTGATGAGATTAACCCCTTAGGTATCGAAATTTGGTACCGAACGACGAGACGTTTTTCGATACTCGATGATATCGAGGCTATTCGGTCGGTGCCTAAAAAGTATCGAACTCGATACCCAGCCCTACTCACACACTACGAAAGAGTTTTTATACATAGAAATAAATAGCTTTATTGATATTTTCAAAAGGCAGTCCCTCACAGGGGGCCCATCATATTTAGAGGTCCTTGGCCTAAAAAGTCTGAAAACCCCTGGATTAAACAACTGACCAGTGGTGCATTGAACCAAGCTGATTGGTTTCTTTCTCCAACAGCCCTGTTTCTTTCATAGAGTGGGGTTCATTGAGAACAAATGTACCATTCTGTAACATTTTCAGATGACTTTTAGTTGTTTGTGGCTTTTGTAGAAATGAGTCAACCCAGGTGAAAGGAACAGCGGGGTGTAAACAACAGTGTGTGTACACATGGGGCTCCGAATCTGACTGTGTCTTAAAATGCCACTATGTAAAACAACGCCCCTACAGCTTTGAAAATAATACAACACTATGTAGAATTTGATGCAGCGCTGTGCACGGAAATGTCATCGTCTCTGCGCTGTCATTACATATGTTACATACAGTGGGTACGGAAAGTATTCAGACCCCCTTCAATTTTTCACTCTTTGTTATATTGCAGCCATTTGCTAAAATCATTTAAGTTAATTTTTTTTCCTCATTAATGTACACACAGCACCCCATATTGACAGAAAAACACAGAATCGTTGACATTTTTGCAGATTTATTAAAAAAGAAAAACTGAAATAATCACATGGTCCTAAGTATTCAGACCCTTTGCTCAGTATTTAGTAGAAGCACCCTTTTGATCTAATACAGCCATGAGTCTTTTTGGGAAAGATGCAACAAGTTTTTCACACCTGGATTTGGGGATCCTCTGCCATTCCTCCTTGCAGATCCTCTCCAGTTCTGTCAGGTTGGATGGTAAACGTTGGTGGACAGCCATTTTTAGGTCTCTCCAGAGATGCTCAATTGGGTTTAAGGCAGGGCTCTGGCTGGGCCATTCAAGAACAGTCACAGAGTTGTTGTGAAGCCAATCCTTCGTTATTTTAGCTGTGTGCTTAGGGTTAATGAGGAAAAAAAATTAACTTAAATGATTTTAGCAAATGGCTGCAATATAACAAAGAGTGAAAAATTGAAGGGGGTCTGAATACTTTCCGTACCCACTGTAGCCCGCGGCTCTGCTCCGGTGGATCGCCGGACACCCCTGCCATTCAGCTCATTAACATACTCTGCACACACATGGGATGTCATGTTGCCAAGCAACAGCGCCACATCACATAGAGAATGTTGTGAGCTGGTTTTTGAGAATCACACTCGTTGAAAAAGGTACAACACCCACTGAGACCCGAGGAGCATCTGGTTCAGAGCAAATGTTACATCTTATTGGCTCAGTTTATATCATAAAGTGTGTGGAAGTGCGAATAAAAGCAGATAAATTCGCTGCACCAAATAAAAAGCCTCATAATTGAGTCCCCTCTCTCCCCATTATCACTTTTATCACGGTCTTTTTGTGCAGCCTCAGATTTAAAGGTTTCTGAATGCATTTTAGAGCGCTTCCTGCCTGTTGCAATTTTTTTTGGTGCGCATTTATCACTGAAGCATGGAAACGCAGAACACATTTGTGGTGAGTATAGGTTAAATCAGAACTGAGATCTCAGACAACTTGTTAAAATGATTAACGCATTTGCATTTGAACAATGTAAATTTGTGTTCGGCAGAGATCAGACATGAGGTCGGAGATGTCTTTCTCTCACGCAGTGCTGAAGCTTCAGAATTGGACAATTAATCAGGCTACGAAAAGAAGAGTTTTTTTTAAACATGTCATTTTCAATTAATGTCTAAGACAAAGATTGTAAATCTTCCCCTCCCTTTGTCTTGACTAAAAATAAACCCCATCGTCCCTCAAGTGAAGTCATTGATTATGTCCTAATCAGGCGTGATTCCAAAGGCAAGACTCTGAGACTGTTGCATAATGTGGCGCAGTCTTAGCCAATCAGAAGTTATTTTGTTTAACATGGAGTACAATTTTGGATTTCGTACAAAATTGCAGACTATAATGTTAATATCCAAGTTTTTCAAATAACTAATGTTTAACAGTTATATTTAAAAAATATATATTTTGATGCACTTTTTGTCAGGATTCCTTTATGAATATAAAGTTAAAAATACCATTTTAAAATAGAAATATTTTGTAACACTATAAATGTCTGTACTGTCACTTTTGAACAGTTTAATGCATCCTTGCTGAAAAAAAGTATTAATTTCTTACTGACCCCAAACTTATGAACCCCAGTGTATGTTTAGTAAACAAAAATTCCTGTATGTTTAGTAAACAAAAGTTCCTGATCCAAGTACAACTGTAATGTGGTAATGATTTCATTAAGTTCTGTCAGTGTGGATATAGCGTCTCTTCGGTCACAGCACTCCAGACTTTCATTTAATCTCCTGTGCTTCTGTTTTCCCATACAGTGCTAGTAAATGGTTAGTTTCATATGTGGTTTCCCCCCTCCACCCAACTTTTCTCATGGTATTTTTTCCTGTTGTCATGAAGAAACTCTTCCCTGAGGGATGATGACCTACCCATGATACCAGTGCATTTGAAATTGACATCTAGTACTATCACAGCTGGTTTCACATGCAGTTCAGCTGTTGTAGAAAATGGCACAAATTCAGGTATTCCCAGTCTCCTGCAGAGACGCTGAAGAAGAAATGCCTGTGAATCTCTTTATCTCTTACTTTTAAGATTCAGTGTGAACCCAGAGGAGATCGACAGATATGAAAGAGGATTTCAAACAAAATAGTCAAAAGCTAAAATTTAAGATGATTAATTTAAATATTTGAATTGATGGCATATAAAATATAATCCTGTCAACAATGTTCAAATGTTTTACATTTGCGTCACTTTTGATGTGATAAACAGATGAGGTGAGATGAAATGTGTCTGGTTGGGTGGTACTGTGAGCATAGAGGCACATCCAGATGCAGTCACGAATTCACACACACACACACACACACACACACACACACAGACAGGGCCGTTTCTAGCCATTTTGATGCCCTAGGCGAAATCCAAATTGGCGCCTCACCCCCCACCCAAATACATTTTTATTACATTTGAATTTAGATACGATCAATGACTACTTTTCGTCTTTGTGTTGTTTTTTTGTTTTGTTTTGTTTAATTGTTTTTTTTTTTTGTTAGAAATGTTGATTTAAAGTGTCAATTTTTTTTCATTATTATAGTGAAACCAATAAAAAACTTTGTTACCCCAAACTAGGCCTGGGCGATAAAACGGTATCGATATTTATCGACGGTACACCTTCTTCAATAACGCTATTAAAATGTTCGATATAGTGCACGATATAGGCACGTGCTATGAGTGACGCAGACAGCACACACAAACACGAACATGCTGAATTGAGTGCTGTGCCTGCCTGTGATGAGAAGATTGTGAAGAAAAATATTATAATATTAGTCGAATTTAAAATAAACATTTGCATTTGAATGTTAGGAGTGCGTCAGGGAGCGTCATCAGTGGCACATGAGATGCGGTGATAATGATGTAAGTAACGTTGTTGCATTTGAATGTTTTGTTAGTCTAGCCCACGAGATGCACCAATGCTATGTTATGCATTCAAAATATTAGAGAAATATAGTAGCTCAGTGCGGAGAAGATCTTGATTAGGTGAAAACCGAAACCAAGCCATTCACATAGATGCATATTCAGTGTATTTTTAGACGGGACAAATATGACTGCTGCACTCGCGTCTCACACAAACGAGATACATTTCTAGTTTCAATATTATGTGTTCTTCAGATGTTCTTCTTTAAATACAATAAGTATCAGCTTAGGCCTGGGCGATAAAACGGTATCGATATTTATCGACGGTACACCTTCTTCAATAACGATATTAAAATGTTCGATATAGTGCACGATATAGGCACGTGCTATGAGTGACGCAGACAGCACACACAAACACGAACATGCTGAATTGAGTGCTGTGCCTGCCTGTGATGAGAAGATTGTGAAGAAAAATATTATAATATTAGTCGAATTTAAAATAAACATTTGCATTTGAATGTTAGGAGTGCGTCAGGGAGCGTCATCAGTGGCACATGAGATGCGGTGATAATGATGTAAGTAACGTTGTTGCATTTGAATGTTTTGTTAGTCTAGCCCACGAGATGCACCAATGCTATGTTATGCATTCAAAATATTAGAGAAATATAGTAGCTCAGTGCGGAGAAGATCTTGATTAGGTGAAAACCGAAACCAAGCCATTCACATAGATGCATATTCAGTGTATTTTTAGACGGGACAAATATGACTGCTGCACTCGCGTCTCACACAAGAGATATATAGAAAGCCATGCAAAGTTAAAAAAGTTAAAATTTGTAGAAAACACATCGCAAATTTGTGGAGGTTTATTCCTTTTCACTGCGTCTCTTATGTTTTTAAATGCAATCTACCTGATGGGCGATTCGGCTCTTTGTATTAAGCAATGCATAAATACATGATGCTGTTTTGTTCATAATTGTTTATGCAATTTTATGCAATTTACAAAATTATATTTGATTTATACCAGTTAATTTAGACGTAATGCACGTTTTTTATAGACCGTTATTTCCTTGCGTTGACAATTTAAATGTGCTGCATTATTTTGCTCATTGCACCCTACTGTGGCCTCGGAAGACAAGCCAAAAGTTTCCTTAAGACCTGTTTAATCTGCATATAAAACATTAGAAATTAGATATTTGTTTAATTTTTATTGTGTTTGACTGTTAAAACAAAAAAAATGTGTTGTTTTTCTCAATAAATTGGGTTAATTTAAACAATTTTCTATTGCTCTTTGTTTTAAAAAAGGTTATGAAAAATATCAATAGTTATCGATACCGAACGATATGAAACATTATATCGTTGATAAGTTTTTTAGCTATATCGCCCAGCCCTACCCCAACCTACATAAAAAAGCTTGATCAGTCACATAAAAGTAATCAGACTCCAGCTACTTATTCCTTTGTTACTCATTGACGCTTGAACTTCCCCTTTAAATGACGTGACGCACTGTTCTTGTGTATGATGCTGCTTCCATTAAGTGCTGTTAGTAGTGAATGAATTAATTCAGAATTTCAACATTTCCGTAAGGATGCGCTAAATTCAACAAAGCGGTTTAATATAGGATGTATTGATCTTGTGATTTAGCAAATTTTACTATACCAATATTTTTTTAATTGGCCGTTACATTTTTATATGTGAATATTACACACACCACACTGATCCTTTAACAATGCATTGGTGCAAAAAAGCACACCCTTTGGACCAATTTTGCAGCTTGATTTCTCGACTGCCACAAATACTGCTTTAACAAAATACTCATTTTGTGCACTTTTTACTGTACCAATATTTTAAATTGGTATTCGAACTTAGCTTTATTGCAAAACAACAAAAAAAACCACGTTACTTTGCCAAAGCACTGACAGAATAGATCTAATGGTGTTGTTGAGCACTCCAAATGCAAACTTTGCATGCAACAATCCGGCAGCCATTGACAGCGCTCTGATCCAATGGCATACAGGCAATGTCAGATTGACAGTACTCTAGCCCAATGATGTTGGGGGATCCAGTGGGGGTGGCAATCATATTTCTGGTTGGCCGTGCCACTCTTTATCACAACCCTGCTAAAATGTAGTGCCAGTACGTGCGCTCATTGGCGCCCCCTCCTGCTGGTGGTGCCCTAGGCGACCACCTAGTTTGCCTATGCCTAGAAACGGTACTGCACACACAGACACACAGGTCCCGCATCACGATAGCCTTCAAGTTACGCCCCCTTCCAGTTATGCCCCTCTCTTGCAGTCCGCAGACAGACGCTATTGCATACTCACAACTCAATGAAAATAATAGTGCATGAAAGACCTAGGGATGCATCACGATTTTTGAATATTCGATTAGTTGATTTAATTATAGAATATCGAATAGGTTGTGTGATTATTGTCTCAAAAAATGTCCCCATGCAGCCCTCTACGAACACCTTGGCAATTGAATCGCCATTGGCTAGTAAATTTTTTAGTTTACTCGCCAGACTGATAAATATATATATATATACATATATATATGCGAGTGATTTACTCGCAATGTAGAGGGTTGCCATGTTTTCCGTGCTGATGCGGTGGTGATGCATCAAGTAAGCAGAGGGTGGCGCTACCAATAACGCACCTAAAAGCTGTCAAAGACAACAGAAGAACACATTGTCTCACGCGCACACTGTAGACTTGCGTGGCATAAAAAAGACTTGCGTAGCATATAACGGTTACAGTAACTTGGGACGATGTCAAATAAGAGCTCTGTGCAGACCTCAAACACCCCCGACTGGGTTAGAGGTGTGGCTGAATCCGTATTCAGAAAGGCGCGGAAAACAAATAATGCGTTCTACGCAGCCACTAAAGGGACATGGTTAGCCGCTTACTAACGGTAGCCTGTTACATTACAGTACATAACATTTCACTTACCACAAAAACAGAGTAAGGAGAGATGACTGATAGGATGATGGGGAGTGATTTGCAGATCCTAAGCACCACTGGCAAACATCTAATCTTGTAAAATGTGTGGTAAGTACTGCCGAGTGCTGCTCCGTATGTGCGAATCTCGAAAGTGAAAGTAAAAAACATAGTAATTGTTGCATGCATAGTAATAACGGCTCCCTGATGCCCACAGTTTATATACAGTATAATTACCCAATGATGTAATTGCGACAGAAGATATCGAAGTATATTTTTCCTCCCATCTCGTATCTGTTCCCTTTAGGGGTTCCATTTTTTTTAAAATGGAAATGGCCTTGCCTTATGCACAGTTCATTTATGCTAATCGATGGACTGTTATGTTTAATAAGTGCCGTCATTTGGTTGTGTTTATTATATTAATATGTTTCATGAAAACTTACAGGTTTGAAATGATACGAGTGTGACTTGTCGTCTGAGATCTGAGAGCTTCTTTCTCCTGTGCAACAAAAAAGCACCATAAAAGTATCATAAAACTACTATAAACTTGCTCACTCAAATCATACTATAGATTAGTATGAGGAACAGATTTATATGTAATTGATATTATCTTCCTTCCCAGTGAGCTGTTAACCACTGTAACTGTATCGATTCAGTGAGTTGAACTAAAGACTGATGCATGAACAAATCACTTAGACTGATTGTGTGAACTGAATTAGCCAGTTTGTTAAAAAAGATCTGAGCAAGGGTGAATGTTAAGATTTTCTATAAATTTGTTTCTCACATAAAGAAGACTTGGAATTTGATGCACAACAGACCACTTTTTTGGTTTTTGATCACCCCAGACTTCATTCACTCTCAATACATTGAAAACATATTCATCAATTCACTTATGTGTTCCATAGAGGGGAAAAAAGTATGTAATGACACAAGGGTGAGTACAAGACAGCATTTTCATTTTTCATTTTGTGTTTTTACTTTAAACACAAATTGAAATTTCCTTTGCTTTCACTGAGACTGTTTTCAAACTTGCTTCAATTGATTTGTAAGCCAATTTCTGCCGAGGTCAGCAGTGATGAGAAATGCATTATAATACTATAACAGGCAAATTATACGCCATCAATAGCTGTACAGTTCCACAAAGTAGAATGGATTGCTTTCATACCAGTTATGAACTACTCTGTTCCACAGACTCAGACTTTCAAGCGGCTCTCGAAAAGCAGCTGAGGTTGAAAATTGGTGTGAAATGAAAATACACCATATATATTTTCTAAATGCATTTTATAGGTCTTTCTGTCGGACTCTGTCTGTTGATGTCTACCTCCTTTGCTATGTGTGTTTTCCTGGTTCCCTTGATAGAATTAAAATCCCCTTATTGATGTACTCCTGGTCTCCTCGCTCCGCGCTCCCTCACAGTAGCACCATGACAGAATACCGGACCAGAACAGTAAGCGGCGCCCCCTGTCCCCTTGTTTGTTTTCCGTTTTTTGAAAAGTTTTTTGTGTCCTGTTTGTTCCTCCCCGTGGCGATGGAAATAACCACTCGGTTCATCGCCCTAGCCCACAGAGATCTCCCCTTCGTGGAGTATGCGTGGGAGTTC